TGGTCAGTTCTCCCCTGCCCCAGGATTCTACTTAGAAGTTCATACTTTTGTCCCTTCAAAAAGAATTAGTCTTGCTAAACAGCAGGCTTCTGTTTCACTTAGTTTAGTAGTCTGCGTGTGTTAAAGCCAAACATATCTACGTGGATATATGTCAGAATTGGGGATTCTAGAAGAAACAGAACTGGTATGCTGTTCTAGTCCTTTGGGTTTAGAACAAGGAATAACCCAGATTGTCAGGTTTTTGCTTACTTGGGTTCACTTAGGGGGAAAAAACCCCAGGATGTCATTTACCTGCTTGCGTAAACAGTGACTTCCTTAGTGAAGGGAAGAGGTAGTTGAGTTTGCCCTGAGGTGGGCAATAGTGTTGTATGTGTGATTAGTTGATTTTGTATCTGTTTGACAAAGACTGTCACTTTGCTAAATGAAGGGCAAGTTATACTTTCTTCATTCTGCCAAATGCTGCACATTCTGGGATATTTCCTTTTATGTACTGTGGAATATACGGTAAAGCCACGTGGAATTAATTTTGGTTCTGAACGATGGAATCAAAATGACATTTTCATAATTCCTCACCTGCCTCCTTATTACCCTTTTTATTGTTTAGAAAACCATTTTCAAATGAACAGACAGATAAACACTGTGATGTTCATAGTGTCAAATGGTTTGGCTTTAAGCAGTGTATTTAATGCCTTGTATTGCTTCATTTTTCAAGTCCAACACTATTCAGCTCGGCTTTTTGTGGTAGGTTCATTTTCCTTACCCATCTGCAGCACCACTGAGGAGGAAGAGGTAGAAGTAACAGACTGCTGTTAAAAGATCACTTCTTCAACCAGCTTCTCTCAGCGCAGCACTGTTTTAAAACTTTGCAAAATCTCTATTTCCAAAAAAAATTTATTTTTAAATGTTAAGGGGAAGTGGTGAGATAGTTTGGACTCTTTTTTTTTTTTTTTTTTTTTTTTTTTTTTTTCTGGTCATAACCCTGAAACAAACTGGAAAATGGGAAACTGAATTGGATCCATAGTTTCACTGAACAGCTTTAAATATCTCAATTTAAAAAACCCCAACCGAAACAAATGCTGAAAAACTTTGCCATATTTCCAAGTGGAAAAGAACAGCTTGGAACAAACCAATGCTTTGAAATGGCAAAGGGGGAGGGTAGAGCTACAACTAGAAAATGAAAGAGTTGAAACACGCCATTTGGTAGGTCCTGACTTGTTAAAAAGTGGAAACTCTGGGAAGGTTGGCAAAGAAGTCACTGTTGGTTATTCTGTTCAGGCTTCACTGTTGCTTTTACCATGAGGTGGTTTACGTGAAGTGGGTGAGAGATGTGTTCACTGCTGGATGTTGCGTTGTTGGGGCAACATTCCAAGGAAGGCTGGGTCTTTCTGACAGCTTTGCGACCGGTTCTTGCTTATTCCGCTTCAGACATACGCTTCAGTCATCCTGTTGTTTGGTGCCTGTCTTGTCTCTGTTCAGCCTGTTTAGCCACAACTGAATTAGATTATAAACTCTGGGTTTTTTTTTTTGGGGGGGGGTAGTTTTTTATCATCTCGGGGGGCTTGAGTTGCCTGGCTGAACGTTGAAGCTGGCGTGTGGAAGAGGTGGGACTGCCTGACTGGCAGTGGGAGAGAATGAACTGCTGCTTTCAACAGCGGTGAGCTGTTGCATGAGCTCACCTGTAAAACCTCTCCCTTAGAGATTAACTTGCTGATAGGAAAAAAAGGGAGTGAACTGTGTAAATAAAGAATTTTGCTCTTCAATACAAATCGATCTAAAAGTTGTCAAGAGTTGAGTAGGAAGAAAGAGTTTGTTCTCATTGAAAAATGATGCCAAAGCTAAGAGCATCTTAAATTTTCAAATTGTTTCAATTGGACATGGAAACAGACTTTCAGGAGTATTAGCGATATGGTCATGCTGATCAATCATAGACTTTCCAATACTGAAATTGGAAAGAAAAGTCAAAATACTGAAGCAGATGCTTGAGTTTAACATAGAAGCTGCATCTTTCTGTGGTGTAATTTTGCCTGAAATTGGCAATTTAAAGAGAACTGAAGCCCTTCAAACTTACCTAGACATCTCTAAATCTGGCTTTTAAAATTTACTTCTGTAACCCAAAAGTGGATACTGAAAACCATGAAGCTGCATTGTAATCTTACAGCTCTTTATTCAGGGAAGCAGGCAGTCATGTCTAAAAACAAAATAACATTTTGTTCAATTTGTGAGGGGTGAAACAAAATGCAAAGGAGATGCAAGAAAAGAGGTCTTTGCTGCTGCTCAGACAATGAAGATAAGTGAGGGAAGGAAGAAGGAGACCTTACAGGGTTAAACCATCTTAATATTCTGACATATGGGAGTTATGCATGTCTGTACAAATTAATTGTGATTGAATAGGCATTTAAAATCTCAGAGTACATGGTGAAAGTTAGGCATCTGCAACTGACTTCAGCTTGATACATAAATAGTTTATGGTAGCTAATGCATTCTGCATTATCTGAAACGTGTGTATTAATTACCAGGTTTGCTGTATACTCTTATAAATCAAATTTACAGGTGTTTTGGCTTAGCATGGAATTTATATCCATTCAAGTTTCAGTACAACAATTACAGTAGCTTAATTTTAATGAGAGTAGGCAGTGTCTTTTATTTTTCATTTTCATGGTGTCAGTTGTTGAGATGGACATGTAATAACAGTAAAGAGGCTATTAATATTCTCATGCTCTTGTAACCAAAACCTTTGAAGACCATTCAGAAAAGCAGTGGGAAAGGTTATAAAACATACATTTAAAGGGTTAAGGGGAAAAAGAAAAAAAAGCTGGGCTGTTGCCAAGTTAGTATGGGATGAAATCCTAGCCCATGTCAATTTAAGTTAGTTTGCTTTGTCAGTTGCTTTCAGCTATGAATTGTTGGAAGTCGGCTATCCAAGTTAGAGAAGTAGGCTACCCTAGTTCCCATGCAGTGTATTCCTTGCAGCATAGGGAAGTGCGTGGCTAGAACGTTAACTGATAAGGAACTGATTACTCCATGGTGTCACTGAAATTAAACGTCTTGCACTGCTGAATTGACTGCATAGGTTTTTTACAGGGCTTCAGAATTGTTATTGTTTGATCTCCAAAAGAAGATGACTTGTTTATTTTAAAATAAGCTATTTCTCTGTTCAGTAGAAATAAGAAATACTTTCACTTGGATCGTTTGCTAAGCTTTTAGAAACGAGAGTTGATGAATTATTGTAACTTACAACACAAAGAAATTATTGAATCCTAAACCCTGAAATGCTAGCTTTTAGTTCAGCTACACGCATGGCTAAAATCACTACAACATGTTTTGCTTTGGCAACATAGGCTTATGCCCTGTTAGCCTCCTAGTTCTGGCATATTCTTAATCAGAAAGTTTAATTTATTGAAATTTCTGAGTCTGCTGTTTGTAATTTATCATTACATTTAAAAGCTAAAGAGAAAAATTGCCTTGATGCTGCAATATTTATCACACAAAGATGCTGTGTGGCTGATGTTGGGGAGTAGGGTGGTGTCTTCATGCTGAGTTATCTCTTGCAATTACGCTTGTGCTGTAATATGCCTTGTGAGTGAGTTTGTTACAAACCTGTGCTGTTAGAGGGGTGCTACTGTGTGTTTCAAATCAAAATTTTGTTTGTTTACCATTTTAATGTCTAAGAGTTGTGTTAGTTTTAGGCATTTGTCTTGAGTTCTCATTTGGCCATAAGCATTACGTAGCTCTGTTGATGCAAAACGAGAGAGAGAGAGAGAGTGAAAAGTTGGATTGATCAGCTGTGATGAGAAAGATTAGTATGACAGGGGTATGCATTTGTGTACATTTTTTTAAGTGATTTTAAATTTCCTTCTGTGTATGAGCATTCCCTCTAAAGTTGACAGGGTCCACCAGTACTTGTCTGCTGAATTAAGTATAATTAAGATTTCCTCTATGCCAATTAAGTACATTGGAGTAGTAGTTGCTTTTCACACAGGCTGTTGCCTCTTCAGCATGAGTCATATAGTGCTGTTTCAGTGTGTTCTAATTGCTTGCTCTGTGTCTCTGCCAGTGCATTCTTACTTAATACAGTGACATGTGATTCAGCAAATGCTGTTAATAGAAGCTCTGTTTAAAATTCATTGACATTTATGGATTTGTAAGTGTAAATTTGAATGTGTCCTTAAGTGGTCATGGATAGGGAACGTTTGCTTTTTTGCCTCCTGTTGCCTGTTCTGCTTTCCGGTTTTCAGCATTTTCAAGCTGAAATTATTTAGCTCAAGAAATTAGACTTCCTTCTTGTGATTTACCTGATAAGCAGAGTTGTAGAAGGCTGTTAGAAGCAACAAAACCAAAATGACCACATCTGCCTCTTGATACGTTGTCATGGACATTTTTCTGTCTCTTTCGTGTTTTTAGTTATTTGATAAAATTACATGTCATAAGTCATTTAAAGGCATGACTGCTTTGTGGACTGATGCTGCTGAGGAACAGCAGGTTTTTTTGTGCTCTTTAATGGCTCTTTTTGGCTTAAAACCCACTTTGTCTCTTGGGACTGGACCAGAGGAGCTGGCACGCTGCCCTGTGCTGGAATGAGTGGTGCTCAGCTGGCTCTGCCTCCCTGTGGCCCCGCTGGTGGCCCTGTTTCATTTAGATTCTCACCTTTCAATAGTAGTTCCAGAGTAATAATTGTTTGGTCTGAGCTGCAAAAACATCTCCTGTCAGGGTTTGTGTCCGGTGTAGCGTGTGTACCTCCTCACTTTAGAACCATACTGAAGGCATGTCTAGCCCATCCTTACATGCAGCACAAACTTTACATTTCTTTTACATGGAGCAAAACTCCTGTAATAAATTGACAATTCTGAAATATAGGCTTCTTAAGAATTAGAACCTGACTTCATTTCTCTCAGTATGGCATTTAGGGGTGCACGCATGTGTGTGTGTATGCACACACATGAAAATATAACTGTATTGTACTTGCATGTGTATACATACTTATGTGTATCTCTTTCTTAAAGATATGGACGTTGGTAGTTGGTTACCTGCTGATGGTTTCATTCAAGTGGAATATAAGCACTGAACGTTACTTAAAAGCAGTCTCTGTCCCTGTCTGGATTATGCTGCTATTTCACTTAGGTGAGTAACGAGAAGTTATTATTCTGTTTTCTTGCAAACAAAGCTACTTGCTTGCTCTTCCATGAAATCTTTATAATGAAGTCTTAGCTGAGATGCAGGCTGTTGTCTCTGCTCAGTAATTCTGGCTGCACGTGGTCAGCAGGGAATGTTGGAGTTTGGAATGGGAAGGCAGCAAGATGCTGAGCGATATATGTCTTCTGCTCCTCCTGCCCAGTTTGTACTTCCCATGGTTTTCCCTTACTTGGCTCTTACAGTTGCAGGCCTGGTAACAGTCTCCCTGACATCCCCCCAACACATGGGGGCATTTAGACTTTCACTTGTGATGATTTTTAAAATTACTGTTTTCTTGAGAGCGTGCCATTGGCCAAGGCTGAAGTTGTAAAATGCATTTAACAGTAGTAATAGAAGCAAAAAAAAATTTCAGTAGTCAAAAAGCATGTCGATATGATATCAACAGTATCAAATAAATTTGCCAGTAATCTATATAATCTGTTAATACAAATATGAGTATAGTATTTATAAGTATTAGATTTATTTTACATATTTAATATAACACATTATCAGATTATATTATCAGAGTTTATGGTGGAAGTATTATGCAGATAATAGACTATCATGCTGGAAGGTTTCAGAGCGTACTCCATTATTTGCTTTAGTGGCAGGTTTCAAGGGTTGTTCTGACTATGTAAAGATACTTTCCTGAGGTTTTAAGCTATGCATAATGATTTTGCTTACGTTTTGATAGTCTTTTATTTGCTGGAAGTACTAGCTGAAAAGCCAAAACCCAAGAAGGCACTGCTTGATGCTACACTGTAGACATCTAACATAAATAGGGTTTTTTTGGAGGGGAGCTTGATTTGCCTCTGATATCTAAAATGTTCTTATTTTGTGTGTATTTTCATGTAATTTTGCATGTAGTTTTAAAAATTGTTCTCAAAAGTATGTCAGCATAAAGTCACTGAAGTTAGAAATGGTAACAACTTGGTTTATTCATTGAGAAACTTGTTCACCTGTTCTTTCTATTCTTCCTTTCCGTGAATGTAGGAAACTTTTTGCTTTATGACACTTCGTAGTTCCTGCCCAGATTGTTCATTGCTGTTGTGATGTCTTTCTTGGTTTTGCTAAATGTGAACTTAATTAATGGTGTAATTTTTCTTGTAAAAAACCCACAACCCTGTATCTTCCAGCTTCTGTGGCAGGTTCCTGGAGAATTCCTGTGTTTCTGGTTATAGTTGTACTGATGACTGTAGGCATGTTGCACGAACAGCAGAATGGAAAGGAGTCTTCTGGTAAGGAACAAGTTACTATTTCTGTAAATCAAATGAAAGAATCTGGACCATATCACTGTAAATTCAGTATCATATGGATTACAAGAATTTACTGTGAGATTTTTAGTATGTTTGTTTGAAAGTGGTTTATGCATGCTGAAGTGAACCTTTAATTCTTTACAGAAAACGTTTGCAGTGGACTGATGTTTGTTTTCCATAGCAAATTAGTGACTCTCATTATCAAGCCCGATTGCTTAAGTTTACAGAAACCTATATGTAGTTATGAGCCTAAAGGAAGCCCAGGAAATTTGAAATCAGAGGCTAATTTTGAAAGAAATGAGCAATACGGGTTTAGTAGCTCCTATAGTATTGAGTAGGAGAGAAACTGCGACAACTGTATATAATGAGTTTGTTATATCCAGTTATTCATTTTTAAAATATCAGTTTCTTAAAAGTATGATTTGTGTTTAGACTTTGAGAAAAATAGGATTTGCCTGTTGTGAGTCAATTTTGCATAAAAGGTGTTCTTTCTAGTATTAACTGTATGATTGTTTTTGGAAACCTTTTTCCTGTGTTGCTCTTTTAGTTTTCTTGAAAGTCATCGTAATCTTCATTAGTAAAACTGATTATCTTCTATAGAGATTTTTTAGATTAACCAGACTGCCAGCAACTGCAAAGGACTTGGGTCAGTAGCAGTTAATTAGCAAGGAAAGTGCTAGGCAAATAACTGGTGTTTTGTTATACTAAAATTAATAACACTCATTCCTGTTTGTGTTGACTGCATATAATACATATTAAAAACTAACAGTGTCTATCCATGTAATTTCTGATGCTTGATAGCTTTGGTGGATATCAAGCAACAAATAAAACATTTTAAGACTTAAGCTTTTCTTTGTTTACACACACATATATATTTTACAGGGGCAGAGCTTCCAGGTCAGATGATTTCCATTGCTGCTTCAACAATTGCCATGGCAATTTCAATGACAGAAGATGAGTCCAATAATGAACGTTCCTCACAACCCTCAGGTGACTGAATACTCTGTAAGAAAACATTTGAATTTGCTCTAAGGGCATGAAATTGGAGGGAATTAAGAACAAATTTCAAAATATCTATCCTTATCCTCTTTATCCTGTACAAAATAGCATGTTTATACTTACATTGTGAAACAGGTTTATCTGTTTTAAAAAATGTTAAGAAGACAATAATATAAAACCTGTCTTTCAAATGATAGTTCACATGGCTAACTGGAAGAATTTGTTTTTTTTTTTTTCAGAGTGAGCATGTTTGTTTTCCCCTATTCCTTATTGTTAATTTTTCTGTTTTCCCTGGCCACCTTTTGATTTGTTGGCAGTTATGAGATACGTTTATACTGGGTTTCTGGACCAGGTACAGACAGGCTGGAATAATTTTTGAATAAATGAGTGCCTCTCACCCTCAGAGGAAAAAATGTCTTCCTAATATCAAATCTAAGTCTCCTGTCTTTCAGTTTAAAACCATTACCCCTCATTCTATTGCTACATTCCCTGGTAAAGAGTCCTTCCCCATCTCTCCTGTAGGCCCCCTTCAGGTACTGGAAGGCCACTACAAGGTCTCCCCGGAGCCTTCTCTAGGCTCAACAAGCTTGGCTTAAAGTGCTGTGGAACTGTGTTCTGAAAAAGCTTTCTTGTCTTGGGATCCCCTCGGAGTTTTTAGTCTTTTCTTTTTTTTTTTTTCTTTTTGTTTAATTCTTTCTTTTTCCCTGTCAGTTCGTTCCTATCTGTGTTTTGGATTTTATGTACAGCCTGCTTAAGTTAATAGGGAAATGGTAAGAGAATGAGGCAGTTCAATTGGTACTACTCTTAACATTACTGTTATTCTTATTTAAGGTTTTCTTCATTGCAAAAATACGTTGATCAAATTTTTCATTACCAAAAGAAGGAACATTCCTTTTTTCTTTGATAAAAGTGACTTTACTAAGGGCTTTACAGGCAAAAAGTGTTGGATAACTTTAATTTTGGGGCATAGCCTACAGCATACTAAATTTCTTTGTTTTTTCTAATTTGGTCTGTAGCATTTCCTTCCCTTTGATAAATATTGGAGTTACTGCTTGTTTTCATGTTACTTCTTATGTTTATTATATTAATTTTGCAGCAAAAGAGTAAAAAGCAAAGTTTTGTGTAAGTTGAATTGATAGGGGAGAATTCTCAATTATGGATATACTACTTTCAAATTTGTGTTCCTTTAGTGCGTCGTAAGCTGGATCCATTTGTTTCTATCAGTACTCTTCTGCTTTGTTAAAAATAGACTGACAGGTACAAGGGAATGATAGACCTTCTATTTCTTATGACAGAAATGCTTTGTCTTTCTAGGAAGGTTTCTGTTCACAGGTAACTTTTGCTCCCCTTATGAAAAATGAACTTGTGTGTTCTTCTCCAAAGTGTAGTTTGTATATGATAGGGCTGGCTTTCATCCCTTTGAGATATGAACTGCTTTTCCAGAAGCACTCCACCTGAAGTTTCTGCTGTGTTTAGCTGCTTACAGAATTCCTTTTTTCAGGTTGCATGCTGTAATTCCTTTGGGAATATTCCGAAATTCCACCAAATACATTACCAGCAACCAGCTGCCGGTTGTGTCGTCATCCCAGTGTCTATCAATTGGGAGAATCAATAGATCTACCTTATTGTATTAGTGTGGTGGGGAAGTTTTTATAAGCTCTAAAAATAGTTCCCCTTACTTGTAGAACACCAATGCAGATTTCTACAACAAAAGAAGAGTGTTCATCCAGTGTATGAGGCTGCAGAATTTGTCACTTACCACTACTGTACACGTATGACAAATCTGTCTTGTCTTTTTGTACGTTCTAGCTATGATGCTTTAGGCTAGGAATGGCTTTAGTAACACATTGCAGCTAAAACTGCATGTGTGGAACATGAGTTGTTTGACTGCTATGCATGTAGTGTGTTGTAATACTTTTTTTTTTAATAGCAGTTTTTCTATATGAGAGGAAAGTGGTTGGTGTTGATGTGCCACTAGTCCAGTTGTGTTTATTGCTTTCCTGCAGCAGTATGGACCAACATAACAAATTGCCTTTTATTCTTCAGCATAGAGTAACTTCTCAGGTTTTCTTGTGTGTGCATTCTCCTACTATGGCTGCAATTTTTTCTCAAGTAGTGGTGTGTGGAAAGTGTGTGCATTTTGCCACCAGCATGTGCCCTCAGTAAAAGTTAATCCTGATGTTCTCAGGGAGAGATTCTACATACAGCGACTGAAGATGAATGTGGTGTCACCCATGCTAGTCTCATACTAGGCAGATCTACCAGCGAAAAAGTTAAATATATAAATTACTATGTTCTCTATACAAGAATTTTAATTTGGACATTGTATTTTTGCCTGAAATGACTGTTTACTCTTTGTTTATAGGTGCATTTAACACATCAGTTCACATTTTTAATTCAATTTCATGTTTACTATCTTATGAATGAGAGAATGACAACATTTGTTACCTACTAATTTATGCTTGCTGTTGTTACTAAAATATGTTACACAAGCAAGTAATTTAGGATCACAGCGGGAGCGCTATGTTTGTAATGTGAGTGTTTAGGAAAAGAAAAAGTATAGTAATAAATTTGTGAGATGCAAGTTTCCTCTTCAATGTATGCTGTATTTTTTGTTTTGTTTAAATGAGCTTTGAGGAAATCTAATATTTCTTTTTGAGTACTTGAAATAAAGAAAAATTTAACATTTCTTTTAAGACTTTAGTTTCTTTTAGAAGTAAATTACACCTTGTATTTTACAGGGTATTAGAGTTATTTTATAAAATATATTTGGCTTGTAACTTACCTGCAGTGACAGGAGGCCTCTTATAGGCTGTGGCGTCTTTTCTTCTCTCCTTATCCCAGCGCTGCTTGGCATGGTGTTGCATGATGTGGGAGAGCTTACACAGCCCTCTTATAGCTTTCCAAAATTCAGAACAGTGCCAAGGCTGTCTCTCTCTTTCAGAGAAATTACCAAAAAAACCAAAACAAACCAAGCCCAAAACCCCAAACCCAACAAAAAAAAAAAAGTTAATTTGGAACTAGGGAGCATATTTTGTTCTGTGGTGAACATTAATATGATAATTTCCACTTCTTTGTATTTGTTTGTTTTAGGAGCAACAGAAGGTGATCAGCCTGTACATGCTTCATCATCTTTCTCCTCCTCTTCATCCTCTTCTGGCTCTTCTGGGAGCAGACAAAGACCTGAAATTGGATCTTTTCTTAGAAAAAAGAAAACTAGTGATATCTACTTTGTTACACTCGTGTGGGCCATTGTCATTGTGCAGATCTGGCTAAATTTCTGGATTGTACAGCTATTGCCAGTGCCTTTTGCAGGTAATAATCCAATTATTAGATATGTATGTTAAATGATGAATTTGGATAGCCTTAGGTTTTATGTTAAATAGAAGGAAAGGCTTGGAGGCTTGTTGGAGTTCTAATTTAAAACTTTTTCAAATTATTTTTTTTGTTAAGATAAGAACCGTAGTAGCTACTACCAAGAATTGTAGCTTCAAATAGCAAGATTGATGTGCACTGTCTGTTATCATGCAGTGGACAACTCTGTAAAATTGCTTTGTCTGTTGAATATTGTAGTAACCTGGAATAATTTAGTGCCATTGTAAGAATCCTTCTGGTTTGGAGTACTTTGTTTTTCTTCCTCTTGATGTCTTGTCTTTCATGTTTTTGCACCTGTAGAAAAAAAATATTTTAGCTGTTACTCAGTACTGAAGTACAGCCCATGCTAACTTTTAATTTCCATTAAAAATTGATTGTTAGGCTCTGTGGACAAGTTGCAAGATAAATGTGATTCTAATTAGCTCTGGGGTTAATTAGCTTTGTTGTTTCACACCTACATGCATCTGTTCTCTTATATATCAAGCAAGAATGGAGTAGTTATGATGGCTATCTAAGAAGGTTATTTTGAAATTGTATACTGCTTTTTCTAACACTTTTTGGGGGGATGAATAGGGAAGATAGGAACTCTAGAAATATGCATGAACTACTACGAATTTGAAGGCGTTTCGTCTCATCCCTCTACTGTGAACAAAGTGAGTTTCCTAATTTGTTTGGATTTTCTCTAAGCTTCAGTTAAAATGCTAATTTTCAGCTTTTTTTAACACCTAAACGTAGCTATTTTCCTTTTTACCAGGGGGATCTGCTGACCCCCAGCTAGTGGCCACTCACTCTTTTCCTGTCTTCCAGCGTGGGCTCACCCATGAGCTGCAGTCCCTTTGGGGAGGTACCAGCTCGGGTGTCTCCTCATCCCTAGGCCACAGTCCCTTCAAGAGGTGTACCTGCTCTGGCATGGGTCCTCCACAGGCCACCCTCCCTTTGAGTGGTGTGCCTGCTTGACCGTGGACCACTTCTACGTCCCTGGCCTTTTTATTCCCCTTGCTGATCCCTCTGTTCCCTCTTCTTCTCTATGCACTTGTTCTGTGGTCCCTCCTCTTCTCCCTCTCTAGTGTTTTCTGCCCTTCCTTAAGTATGTTTCCACAGAGGCACCACACCTGGGCCTGATGGGCTCAGCTTTGGCCTGTGCTGGGTCCATCGTGGAGCCTGTGGAAACGGCTGTGTCTGGTACAGGGCAGCCAGCCTCTCCCCTTGGAAGCCACCCTGCTACCAAAACCTTGCGATTGACACCCAATACACAAAGCCGTTACAAGCTGTCTGGTTGTGGAAATCTGGACATCACGACTGTAAGGACGTGCTTACTGGTTCGAGGGGCTCTGGACTCTGAGAGGCTTGGGGGAAGGAACAGCTGCATGTCTGGCTGTGGCACTGTAGCTGGAGCTAAAAGGGTAACGTGGTGGTTAGGCATATAAATTGCTGAATACAGGCTGAGAGGGGTTTGGTCTTTGTTTCATTCCAGTGTAGTTGCTACAGAAGGAACTGCCTTGTTTTGGTGCCTGGGCATTGTGGGGAATGGCCACGACAGGTTGGATGTAGCTCATAAATGCATCATACAAATGAAAAAGAGATTAGAAAATCAATTTTACACTTAGTAGAAGCAGAGTTTATATGACTTAATTTATTGAAGGGAAGAGTGAATGACTGACTTAAGCGCTGTTTAGAAATACCTACTTGGGTGGGAGGAAAGCATGGTGCAATAGTTTTGCTGTTAGGTAGACAGCAATGACTGGTTTTAAGCTTGAGCCAGACAAATCTAGATTAAAGTGCACATCTGTAACTGAAATTGATGACTACTCCTGCTGCCAGTCACTAGGTCCAAATTAGCTACTTGAACAATAAACTCATGCCAAAATAGAAGTTAATTTTGAGAACATTTGTGACTTGTTGCCTTAGCAGTAGCGCTGTGCCATTAAGTGCTTTTCTTGGTATATAACTGAATATATCTGTATCGCCACAAAAATACTATGAAAAGGCAGTATAACGATGAACAGAGCCGAATTTAGAACAGTGGATCACCATAAGTGTCAGAAGGTGAATGATGATGACCAGGATTGTTAAAAGAGAGGTGGTATTAAAAATATATGATAGTGGAAAATAGGAAGACTTCTAAAGCAAGTTTCCTTGCAACTTTTCAAGTTTAAGGAGACTAGTAACTTTAAGCGCTTCTGAGATCTTAAGGTAAATGCTTCTAGTATGTAAAAAAAAAACCTAAACAAAACCCCACCCCTAAAACCTTAAATAAAAAGGTGTTAATTCCACCAGAGTTCCTTATATTGGTAGACAGGACTTCCATGAAGTAGCAGTTAGATTATAAGAAGTATATTGGTATCGTTAACGTTTTTCCTTGAATGCATGTGTACTCTGATAGAATGAGATGAACTTCTAAAATTGCTTAATGTAGAGGGTGGAAAAATTATACTGTAATTATACCATAAGGTGAGAAGATGAAAAAATGACATTTGAATTCAAAATCTAAGCAATAGACCAGGTTGTGGAACGCTTGCAGCATTTTGTTCAGTGATGTGAGCCTGCGAATCCTGTTACTGTCTCTTTTTAAGATCTTTCATTTACTTGTTCAGTTGCATTGTTTTTTGAGTTCTTTTTTTTTTTTTTTTTTTTTTTTCAGGTCTTTTTTTTCTTCCTGTAGA